TAAATTGGGAGCATGGGGACCATGGGAGAGGGTTGAAGGGGAGGAGAGAGAGGCAGGGAGGGGAGCAGAGAAAAAATGTATAGCTCAATAAAATCAATAAAATGAAAGACGTTTTCGACCACACATTTGCACCAGGACATCCTGCACCACAGGACCAAGTGACTGTGCACTGAAACCGCCAGCCCGCGCCAGCTCTTTCTCCCTTTGGTTGGCTGGTCAGGAGAACTTGGAGATGTGTTTTGTTGCCTTCATTGCTCTTGACATTGGTGGCTGTGTTCTCATCTTTTCCTTTTGTGTACTAGGAAGGCTTCAGGCTTTAACCGTGTTTTAACTCTGGTTACTAAGATTGAGCTACATTAATGCAGTAGGACAGGCTGTAGGAATCCTTTTCTGTAAGGTGATGGACAGTAATTTTTAAGGTGTTGCAGGTTACCTAGTTTCTGTGAAAACTACTCAACTCGGTGAGGTAGCCATGGACAATATGAGGTTAGTGGTGGTGAGGCTGTGTTCTAATTAAACTTTATTTAGAAGGGAGTGGGCAGAATGTGGCTAGAGCTGGAGGTGTAACGCAAACAATGAAAAATTAAAAAGTGGGAAAGGAACAAAATGGGGAGAAGAATAGCACCAAAGTTGCAGAGCCTGGAGAAGCTGCATTGGGGAAAGGGCTGGACCTGCATGGAATAGGTGAAGAGGTGGAGCCTTGATGGGGTGGAAGAGATGCACAGACACTGACAGTGTGTGGAAACCAGAAAAGCATGTTTGTCATCCAGAACAAGCAGAAATGTTTCTTAACTCTGTTAAAGGAAAAGTTAATACAAAGAGAAAATGTCTGTCTGACAGTGAACCTGATGCTAACAAATCCAGGGGGAAAGGGGCATCGCTGACAAAGCAAGGTGCTGCTCCAGGGGTCCCAGTGCTCAAGGGAGGGGAGCCTCAGATGACGCTGAGAAGTGATAATCTCATAAACAGAAGGGCTCCAAGGCAGGTACTGGCAGAAGAGGCAAGCGGGCATGAAGTATGCTCAGATTATAATTGTTTTTCATGGACAGGGACTGGCTTGGCATCCATGTCCAGAAGAAGAGGCTCAATGATTTTGTGGGGGGGGGGGGGGCGGAGGGAGAGAGGGAGAGAGAGAGAGATCTGAAACCTTAGTTTTGGAATTGCCAGTGTGAAAAAAACGAGTTCCATTCTAATGGAAATCAGAGATTTGGTAAGTGGGTTTTGACAATATTAACGGTTGCTGGGATTTGTTTTTGCTTTGCATCAAAAGGTAACTCTGCTTTTCCATAAAGAAAAGCTTCCCGGAGCTGTCCCCTGTCCCCTTATCCCCTGACAGCCTGCCTGACATCCCATTTCGTTCATCTTCATTGGAGGACAGCTTTGTCTCAGTATTGGGAAGTTTTCTAGCCGTTGCTCAATCAGAACTGACTTTTAACCAGTGTGAGAGAAACAGTGTGTAACTGCTATGATTTTTGTTCATGTGTGTTTGCATAAAGTATCTATATAAGTAGTTTTCCTTCTTAAATATACACACTGAAACAAAGCCACAACCATGTTCCTTGGATTCCATCATCCCAACAGACCCAAGGAAGCACTTCAGTTCCTTTCAACAGGTACCTGAGGCGTAAACTTTCCAATTCAGTCGCACCCAGGCAGTGACTCAAACACAGCCATATCAGATTTCATATCTGTTCCATCACATATATGCAACTATTTATTTACACAAGTCCTTAAAGACATGATTTTGCCACTGCCAACGACTCCCCACCCAGACAAGGGAGGCAGTCAGATTCCGGGTTAGTAACCACTCCTTTGTGTACAGTTGAAATCTGCGTACTGAATAGCAGAGATTGTTCATGGAAATGCAGTCTGTGTGGTTAGATGAACTGCCAATTTAGGATCCACTAGCATAAACGGGGTAACAAAATTTTACGCTGCTGTTATTCATCTGCATAATTTTTCTTTGCCCCAACTCATTCCATCACGGGAACCTTGCTCTGGTCTCCCTGCAGATATCTGGTCTCTGTGATCTCCACTGGAATAATCTGGAGAAGGCACACAGTGTGCAGTGTAGGAGACAGACAGGAGAGAGGAGAGCACATTCTTCTTGGGGCATGGGAACGGACAGTGGCCAGAAAGACATTGTACTGGTTTGCACTTTCGGAAGGCTCTGTACCCTTTCTAAAGTCTCTGGGACAGACACCTGTCCCAAAGGCTTTCTGTCCAAACAGTTGGCAGCCTGTCCGATTTGTCTTAGGGGTGGGGGTGGGGTAAACCACCTGCTTTGTAGTAATTTTAGGACTTCTGTCATCAGGCTTAGGCCTTCCAGGCAGGCTGAAGATGTAACGTCTCCTCTCAGGGCCAGACCGTTCCTCTCATCAGACGTCTGAATCCTGTAGTTGCAGTTATAGAGGCTGTTTTGAGAGAAGGGTCCAGCTCTAGCGCCCTCTAGCCGTGCCATGTCTAACTGCCTCTCTAACAGTCCCTTCTGTGAAACCTAAGTTGTTAGGTAGTGGGTTCGTAGTTCAGCGGGAGCTAAGAAAATCATTTTGTAGTAACCAGCCTGTTTTCTCGCTGGACATTACTTGCTTTATTATAAATAATGGAGCAGCGGTCAATAAATAGTTTCAGATTCGTGTACCTAGAATCCTTAGCTCCATCCTGGAAGTCAGCCTCTGTCTCTGATACATATTTACCTCGCCCCATCTGCTGACTTTTTAAATCCCAGTTCTCTGGGGACACCAGGATAGTATTCCACAGAACCCCTGAGATGATGCGTTATGAAAGTTTCGTTTCATCAGCACAGACTTAGTGACTGTTTGCCACATTCTGTGCACTAAGACTGCTGTCATCAAAAAACTGGCTATCATATAGGCATTGCACACGTATGAAAAGTTCATCCAATAAATGAAATTACTTACAGAGAAAAGTTTAGTGATATGTCTGGTTAGTATTGTAGACAGGGTCTCATGATGTAGCCCAAATTAGCCTTGAGTCTCAATCCTCCTGCCTCAGATACATAAGTGCTGGGAACAAACATGCTCTACCGTGCCCGGTCAGCCAGTTTAAGGATATTGGCCATAGAAAGAAGAATGGGGCCCATGGCAGCAATGGCATTAGAAACTGTAGCTATACACCCATCCCTTCTAAACATTCTAGCACATATCCAAGGCTGGGGAGACAGATCTGACAACAGTAACTGCCCCCTTGTTCCTTCCACATCGCTCAACCATAAACAGACCTGCTGCTGTTAGATGAGACCCTTCTGGGAGTGGGCTGGGGCTTATGGTTGCTAAATAGCCACACGAACGAAGAGGTAGCCAACAGCATGAAATCAGTAGTTCTCGGGGTTGTTCCTACAGAGGCCTGGGAGGGAATGTTCCAGGCTGCACTCCTCAGCTGGCCCTGCAGTTTATCCTCCCCCCAAGCCTTCGCTTTACATTTTCACATCTTCTACCCATGTCTGTCTCTGAAAGCTTCCCTCTGCAGGTATATTGAGCTAGGAGCGACCCCGACAGTTCACCTCAGTCTGATTGCCACCGCTTTAGACGTAGGCCTCTGGATAAGTTTGCATTCTGTAGTACTTGGAACCAGGACTCTACAACAAGAATTTTAAGAGTCCAGACACTGAAGTTGCCTACACCTGTGGCTGGGGTGCCTAAGCTTCATGTGTGCTGGACTGTTGGGAAGGAAGAGGATTCATCTGAGCTCTGGGGTTGCCAGTGGCAGGACAGGAAGAACGCATTATTGCAGGAACACATCGGACACTGTGAAGGAACAAATGGCCTCCTTCATCTCAGACACTTGAGTCATCCACACCCCTCTTCTGGACAATTCATGCAGTGCCACAGCAAAAACCTGGGGGATCAGGTCCTGCATTACTTCTTGGGACCAAGCATCCATATCTGGTATCTCTTTTCCACAATGCCACCCTGAATCTCGTATCCTAAGTAGGATACACTGATGATGTTTAGTCACAATAGTGAAAAGGAGGAACTAATGACCTCACACAGCCTAAATCTGCCTCTTCCATATCAGTGCCTGGTGGACAGAGCAAAGTGGCTGCCTCCGACTATGGAGGCATGCGCAAGACCAGCCAGTGCCCAGTGTTCCTAACCCGAAGTCTGACCACAGCTCCCAGTCCAGCTCTCTCTGCACTCACCAGTCACACTCTGTGCTGGGGAGTTTAATGTCAATTTGACACAAACTAAAGTCACTGGAGAAGAGGGAACCTCGATTAAGACAGTGTTTCCTTAGATCAGGCTGTAGGCAAACCTGCAAGGCATTTTCTTAATTAGTGATTGCTGGGGGAGGGCCCAGTCCATTGTGGGTGGTGCTATCCCTGGTCTACAAGAAAGCAGACTGAGCAAGCCAAGATGAGCAAGCCAGAAAGCAGCACCCCTCCATGGCCTCTGCATCAGCTTCGGCCCCCAGGTTCCTGCCCTGTTTGAGTTCCTGTTCTGATTTTCTTTAATGATGAACAATGGGAAGTGTACGCAGAATAAACCCCTTCCTCCCCAGCTTGCTCCTCCACAATAGCTCCTGAGCAGAAAGGGCAACCCAGCGTCCTGATAGTAGTCATTGAGCTTTTTAGGGAGCAGATAACTAGTAGCTTCTCTGCTGTTCCCAGAGGGGTTCCACCGGCCAGCTCCCCACTCTGGCTCTGATTGGGTGCACACCTTTATGCGCACACCTCCTCCCAGCTACTCACTCTCGGCACCTTGCGGTGACATCAGTATGTAACCGTCGCGCCTTAACCTCAACAATTGGCAGGTTGCCCCGGCACCTTCCTAAACTCTCCGTCCTAGCCCTCTGGCCAAACTGTTTCACTACGCCTGAAGCCCTGTCCCATCACTAGCTGAACAGACCCAGTCCTGTGGCCCCGCCCAGGCCTCGCCCTAGCAGTGAAGCCCCACCTCCATCACATGCCTGGCAGCCTCTAGGCCCCTCCCTGATAGTGCGATCCCTGCTCCTCCCCTCGCTCTGCTGGACCCGCTCACCTGGCTCTCGCGGCTGAAGTAGTTGAGCTCCTTGGGTTCCTGGTGCCGCCGCGGCGGGATGTAGCTGAAAGCTGGCACCGCTGAGATGGGCAGAGATCGGGGCTTGCCCAGCAGAGTGGAGGCAGTGATTTCCTCCTCCTCTTCCCCATCTTCCACTCCCCGCTCCTCCTCTTTTTCTTTCGTATTGCCCGGGTCCATTGTCCGCTGTTCAGTCTTGGCTGGTCCCTATGCCTAGGGAGCCCAGGCCTCAAGCATCAGCTTGTGGGGTTTCTGCGTCCCTCCGGGCGTTTGTGCTCAATCGTTGCCTGGCAACTGCGCCTTGCCCTCAGCATCCGCTGAGTGACGAAGTGTGTTCTTTGCCACCTCCTTCTAGGTCCTTCTCGCCACACCCTGGGAGAGACCTAGCAGCGGTTGGGTGTGGCTTTCCAGGTAGGAACAGCCTAAGGAACCACACCCATTCCGCTACATCTGCTTTCCTCGCGCAGTTTGTTCTAAGTTTCCGGGTGTTTCATAGCTTAGCAGACCACGACAGAAAGCTACCATGCCTCAGGATCCGATGGTACAGCCCCGAAACAAACAGCCCTGGGCCACAGGGAGCTTATAGCCTGCAGGAATAGGTGACAAAGATGAGAAAGGCTGCGGAGGTTCAGGACAGAGCGATCCAGCAGAAACGAGAGGGCCACGTGTGTAACTCGCATAATGGAAGGTTAACGGCGCCGAAGAGTGGGCGGCACACATGGAGCCTCAACATGCGGTGGTAGCTAGCTGCCTTTCAAATGTGGGCTGGGCGGGTCTCAGGAGCAGAGGAGAATGACTGTCACTAGGGTTTAAGGCAGCTCTGGACCCTCTCCCTTCTCAGCTAAAGGAATCCCACTTCCTTCTTGCCCCTAGTCTCCCCTGGCAGATTGCCGAGTAAAGCATGAGTCAGGAAAAAGGCCAGGAACTTTCCCACCATGAGCCGAAGTCTCAAGGGCCTTGGTTTTTCTGGGAACCACTTAGCGATGTGGACATCTCCCTGGAGCTTGGAGATATGTAAAGAAAAGGGGGCCATCTCCCTTCTCCCATGAGCAGAAGTTGTGAAAGCATGCCTGATAGTATTTCTGTCTACATGAAGATATTAGCAAAACAAAACAAAACAAACCCTGTAATTTACTCTCAACCTTTCCCAGTTCTCAACCTTTCCGAAAGCAGAGCAAGAGGGACCAGCTTGGGGCCATGAGACTTTGCACACCTGGGAAGGTGGAAGTGGCTGGTACTAATTAGGATGAGAACTCGGTTTAGCCAGCATAGCCCAGACTGAAATAATCCCGCTACAAATGGTCTATTAACGGCCATTCAAATGTAACTCTGCTAGCTGCCATTTTAGTGGTCACAAGGACTGAGAAGCAGGAGAGGCCATATCAGGCCCATGTGTTGACATGGGACCTGGAAATTGCAAAACCCATAACACTGAGATTGGCTTTTGAAATGCAAGCTGATCAGATCCACATCACCACTGCAAGCATGTGGAGCTTGGTCATGCCCAGAGAGCAATGCAGAGGTTGCATGTGATCAGCATAGACATGTGTTGTACCTGTATCTTTCCGTTCATGTGATCAGCACAGACATATGTTGTACCTGTATCTTTCTGTGCATGTGATCAGCACAGACATATGTTGTACCTGTATATTTCCATAGAATGAGGCAGCTCTTGAGTCCAATGTGAGGCTGAGGCTGTAAGAGACGCTGTGAGACATGGACAAACAGCAAGACAAACAGAACTTCCAACTATTGAGGTTTTAATTCATTTAAAGATAAATTTTGTGTGACCTTTTGTGTGTTCCAGGTACCTGAATAAAATTTAAGGGAAAGCAAGTTCAGATGTATCTATGTGTTTAAGACCTTTGACTCTTAACTTGCAAACCCCATGCCAAGAAGGGGGGAGCATAAAATCACTCTTCTAAAAGCAAGTTACTAGAATAGAGGCAAACTGGGTATTTGGGAGTGCACAGAGATCAGATCAGCCTTCCTTTTACACCACTCTGGCCTACGTGGAAACTGTGCATGCTGATGGCTGTGTGCACGGCACAGAAGTGCTATGTACCGGGATCCAGCTGTCTGCAGGTCTCCAAAGAGAGGCGTGAGCCCGTATTTCACAGAGGCTCCTTGAATTCCGGGAAACGGACTGGTCAGAGGTCAGGGATGCAGCCCATACTGCAGTGGGAAGCCTGTGCTGTTTCTCCTGAAAGGCTCGGTTAGAAGCCATTCTGCTAACCCCGGGTGGGAAGGAGAAATGAGAGGAGATTGCTGTCTGGTCACATTAGCTGTAACTTCAGCACATCTTGCGCGGAAGACAGGCTATATTTATACTGATTTCTCATACACCCTCACTAAGGCTAGAAAAACCCACCTAGCTCAATAGATTGACGACCAAACCTAGATGTAGGGAAGCTACATAACTGGGCACAGTTAATTACTGTTTTAAAATAGCAGCATAAACTCAGTTAAGCGGCCCCCTGTAATTGGGACTTTAATTCACAGCATCTAACATATCCTAAATTGGTGTAAGCATGCCTCTGTATTTGGTTTGTTTCCTGGCGGTCTTAAGGAGTGGGCCAATATGTACTCATGTTTGTGGCTCAGAGGAGGGCTGCCTGGCTGTGCTTCCCTGCAGATTAAGAGAGCATCATGAAGTCAAGTATACAGGCACTATTAATAACGTGTTCGCACTGGCCTCTAAATCTGAGCCAAGGTCATGGGAAAAAAATGAGGACTAATGAGTGAGAAGAAAGCCATTGTCCACCCAAACCATCTTATCTAAATCAGGACACAGGCCAGGGTCCATGGAGAGGATGAACAAGCTTTTACCTCACTAGATTTCCTGTCCTTGATGTTAAAAAAAAAAGACATAAATAAAGCCGGGCGGTGGTGGCAGATGCCTTTAATCCCAGCACTCGGGAGGCAGAGGCAGACGGATCTCTGGGAGTTCGAGACCAGCCTGGTCTACAAGAGCTAGTTCCGGGACAGGCACCAAAGCTACAGAGAAACCCTGTCTCAAAAAAACCAAAAAAGACATAAATATTGATATTGTGAGGGGTGTAGAAGGCCTGATGCCCCTGGCTTTTATACTGAGCTGACTTACTGCCCTGATCAAGTCCTTATCGTAACCTTAAGCATCAAACTTCTTTGGGTTTTATAGGCAAATATAAGATATATAAGATAATCAAGAGGAATGATGGAATTAGAAAACCATTTTTGGATTATGTTTTGACAACAGTTAGTCAAGTAATGGAGCTAAGTCACACTCGATATAGGCTAAAACTATTAGGGAACGGTCAATGGAGAGGAGGGAGGGAGGGGGGGAGAGAGAGAGAGAGAGAGAGAGAGAGAGAGAGAGAGAGAGAGAGACTGGCCTTAATCTACACTCTGGGTGTCACCTTTAACTCAGTGGGAATTACAGCAGACACAGGAACAGGTTAGATGACAGTAAGCCAACAATTTTGACCATCTGTAGGGTAACTGATCAATTTCTCCAGGTGAAGGAAGGGTAGTTGTGTTATCAAGGCTTCAGAGCTTCGCAGCTGCAAAGAACCCAAGGACTTCACATCCTGACCTGAGCACAATAAAGCAGAGACGGCACAAGGAACGCGATATTGTCCTGATGTGAAGCTGTAGAAAGCAATTATTAATTTTGTTACTTGAAATAGTGGCTGAATGGTTAGAAAAATGGTTATAAATGTGCACTGAAGTATTTGGGGCAAAATGATATAATAGCTTGGGTTTTCTAGAAGCACTCCAATAAAAAATAGATGGAACATGACTGAAAAATTATGGTAATTTGTCACGCTGAATAAAGGGACTCATGGTTCCATTATACAATTGCTTCAGCTCTTATAGGTGTTCAAAATTTTTCCATAATAACAGTTAAAAACAGTGGGGTTACCAAGAGATATTGTTTCTTGCAAACACAGAGCCAGAAATATCAGTTTAGCCCACAGACCGTGTGTGGTATGTGCCAGAGACTGGGGAGTCATTGGGAAGAGGTGTTTGTTTTCTCTGAGACGTGAGATTCCAGGTTTATAAAGGCAAAACTTCTTTCGATGGACTCCAACAGCCAAAGGACATTAGTATAAAGTTAGATTTTTCTGATTAGGGGAGTGTTGGGGAATATTATTTTAAGGTGTGTTGCTTTTGTTTAGGCTGCATTTGTTTAACTCTGTGAAGCTGTGATTCTTTGCCTGTCTAAAGCACTTGATGGTCTAATGAAGAACTGAACAGCCAATAGTGAGGCAGGAGCAAGGATAGGTGGGGCTACCAGGAAGAGAGGATAAACAGGAGAAAAGAGGAAGAAGAGGAGCAAGAGAAGAAAGAGAAGAGAACATCAGGGGCCAGCCACCCAGCAAGCCATGGAGAAAGTAAAGAAAAGTATACAGAAACAGAGAAAGCTAAAAGCCCAGAGGCAAAAGGTAGCTGGGATAATTTAAGAAAAGCAGGTAAGAAACAAGCAGAGCTAAGGTCAGGCATTCATAACCAAGAATAAACCTGTGTGTGTGATTTATCTGGGAGCTGGGTGGTAGGCCCCCCAAAAAAGACAAAAGAGTAAAACATCACACAACAGTGGAGCAAGGGAAGTTACACACTGGAGGAGGCAGAGTCACTGGCCAAGCAAGGAGGAGACGGTTCTTGTGGAACCTGGGAAAAGGCAGCAAGTCATCCAACCTAGTGAGGTTGGGTGGAACACACTGAAGCAGAACAACTTGTGAACGAATGCTTAGCCTTTAGACATGATGCTACAGCTGTGGACGGTCTACCCTAGTCTTCCTAGTCCAGTGTCTGCTCAGAAAATTGAGGCCACTTCTGTGTCAGAGTGACCCATGTAGTTCAGATCCTGCAGGCCACAGAGGGATGTCCACACAGGGATGTCCCACATGGCTCAGATCCTGCAGGTGTCCCCTGAGGGATGTCCACAGAGGGATGTCCCACATGGCTCCGGTTCTGGAGGTCACAGAAGGATGTCTTACGTGGCTCGGATCCTGCAGGCATCCACAGAGGGATGACCACAGAGGGATGTCCACACAGGGATGTCCACACAGGGATGGCCACACAGGGATGTCCACACAGGGATGGCCACACAGGGATGTCCATACAGGGATGTCCACACAGGGATGTCCCACGTGACTCAGCTCCTGCAGATTGCTGAAGATGTTGCACTTCATCATTTGGTTTCAGACAGCACATTGGCACTGCATCCTCCACGCTAATCACAACGGCAGTTACAACGGGTCTATAGTTGTAGCCCTGCATGTCGTAAGCAGCAAGCGGCTGTGTCCCCATTGAAACGCATTCCTTCGTGAGCCCTCACTATTAGCTGTGTGAAGCAGCTTATCTGATGAAGATGGCGTGTATACTGTTGACAGTAATAGCCCCCAGTGCTCACTGAGCCCTTACTGCTTTCTAGGCGCTGGGCTGCAGTGCATACGCAGCCCTCCTCGCCCCACTACATGTCCACTCTCCGTGAGTCTGAGAAATTCCCACTTGCTTTCAGACAGGTTACCCCGTACTCAGTCAATGCCATGAACTTTGCTGCCCCCTAGTGACAGCCCCAGAGACTATCCCTGCAGCTTCCA